TCAGCACCATCAGAGACCTCTAGGACCAGCACCATCAGAGACCTCAAGGACCAGCACCATCAGAGACCTCTAGGATCAGCACCATCAGAGACCTCAAGGACCAGCACCGTCAGAGACCTCTAGGACCAGCACCATCAGAGACCTCTAGGACCAGGACCATCAGAGACCTCAAGGACCAGCCCCGTCAGAGACCTCTAGGACCAGCACCATCAGAGACCTCTAGGACCAGCACCATCAGAGACCTCTAGGACCAGGACCATCAGAGACCTCTAGGACCAGCACCATCAGAGACCTTTAGGACCAGGACCATCAGAGACCTCTAGGACTAGGACCATCAGAGACCTCAAGGACCACCACCATCAGAGACCTTTAGGACTTGCCCTAACCCTTAAGTACAGTCTTTTTTCTCTTCGGGGACGTACCAGTTGGAGGGATGAAGTGCACATAGTTCAGAAAGTTCACCCGCTCTCAATCAGGTTCTCTGCATAACATTCACTTTGTTATGAACAGAACACCACACTCACTAACGTTACTCTGAAGGACGTTTTATACTTTTTTGCGACGGTTGGATTTCAAAAGGACAGAAAACCACTTCAGACTTCAGATTACATCATATATGAGTGAAGTGTTATTGTTGCTTAACTCATCTGCTCTAAGTTTAGTTGTCTTTATTTGAAACGGACATTGTACAGACACAAATAATAATAATAATAATCATAATACAGCTTTTTCAACATAGCACTTTCCTATCTGCTCTGAACCATCTCACAGCCGCACAGCTATTTCACCTGCAGTCCCTGGTTCCATTAATAAAATATACAATAACAAGTCAAAAAACTACAACACTTTGAGGAGCTGAGAGGTCACGTGACTGCTGTCCTGCTGGGGTCACTCTACGCCGCTTGCAGCCGGTCTCTTGAGGGTCAGTGCTGCCCTCTGGTGTCTCAGAACAAACATTTTTATATATATTTTATTATAGATGATTAGACGTTAGACGTTTGTTGTCTTCTGTAAATGTAAAGAGAATGTAATGAAAGATGGAAGTTTTGGAGCATTCTTAGATTTTATGAGATTTAGTGAAGTTTAGAAACGTCTGATGCCTTTATCAGTGTAATCAGGACCTGTGTAATCAGGACCTGCTGTCGATCCCAAACTGGATTTTTAAAATAAAGTATAAAGTCACATTTGTGCCTCGGTTTTGACTCGACATGATGTATTTGTGTGTGTTTTATGTTTTCTTTTGAGCCTGTGAAGAACTTTGGGCAGCTTCTGTTGTTGTAGATGTGCCATACAAATGACATCAACATTGACAAAAGCTGTGCAGGGCAGGGCCTGATTAGTACTGGGATGGGAGACATATGAGAGCTCCAGGTGCCACAGTGGGGCGGCTGAGGCTGTAAAGTGCCAAACTGTGGTTGTGTCCTTAGGCAAGACACTTCCCCCACATTAGAATGAGTCTGGTGTGTGTGTGTGAGTGGTTGGTGGTGGTGGGAGGGGCCAATGGCACAGACTGGTTGACTCGCTGCTGTCAGTGTGCCCCAGGGCAGCTGTGGCTACAGTAGTAGTTTATCACCACCGTGTTTGGAGATAAATAATAATTACATGTGAAGCGTCTTTGGTTGTCAAGAAAAGTGCTGTAATAAAAACGATGCATTATTATTATCATTATTTAAAAAACAAAAAAGAGTCCCACAATAATCAGTCAAATTGACTGCTTTTAGTCGAATGGAAGAGTTTACACTCAGCTCATGTACATTCCTGGGTTTTATTTGTGTACTTTATTTCTATCTCATTGTTTTTTCTGAAATGTGTGATTACCTTTAACTCCCACAGCCGTCATTCTGACTGCTCCATTCATTTGAATGCAAGGCCATTTTCGCTCACTTTCTTTAGCAGTTTGAGCCCATTCCCAGGTGCTGGTCCTGGACTGGTCCTGGACTGGTCCTGGTTCAGTTTAATGTTCCACCGGGAAAAGCAGGTTCTAGTTACCATAGCAACACACTGCTGTTAGCCGTTAGCATTAGCCTTTCACCAAACTGTTTTTACAGTTACTGTACTGTATATTTAGCACTTTTAGCATGTATTAAAATGTGAGTAAAAACCTTAATACAAACCCTTACTTTTTATACATTTGGGTAAAATGACGGAGAGTCAAAATGACGGCAGTCTCTACAGTTACAGTTGAAAGTAATGAGTTAATTAACATTTGCCTTATGACTCTTGTTTGTGTGCACTTACATATGGGTAATCTTTATTTCATCTTTTTATTTATCTCATTTGCTTTTAGTTTTCTGTGTTAAATTTTGACTTTGCTAACACCAGAATGCAAAAAAACAATTCCCTCTCCATAGACACCTCCTCCAGCTCATCTGGGGGAATCCTGAGGCTCCTGAGGCGTTCCCAGACCAGCTGAGACCGTCTCTCTGGGTCTTCCCCTGGTCTCCTCTCAGTGGGACATGTCTGCAGCTCTCCATCTGAACTGGCTCCTCTTTCAGATGGAGCCCTCAGCCATTCTGTAGAGGCCCCTGCTGTTCTCTCTCTGTTTATGATGAATGACAAACTAATTATCACAATTAAAAGTAGCTTTCTATATGCAGAACAAGGACAAGTGGCCTAGACTGAAGCTAAGTGTCAGTGGTATGGACTAAAAGGAAGTTAGTAAGTCTGCAGAATATAATACATTTCCAACTAGTGCTGTATTCAAGCTGAAAACCAGAGTGTGTTGGAGCGGATCCCTCCATCATGGTCCCTGAGTTTCACTTTTGTCTGATGCAGGAGGGTCTAAGGACAGAGATGATCCAGGACATCAGTCTCTGCTCCTTAAGGACCAATGGCTCTATGTGTTAATCGTTGGACTTCGGTTTGATTCTCTGATCTGTTGTTGGTGAATCGAAAGCTTTGTAAAGTCCTCAGAGATAACTGTTGTGATTTAGGGCAATACAAAAATAAACTTAACTGAATATTATTTATTACAACTTGAGTAACACTGACACTCCCAAACTAAAACTGCATTTGAAACATGACCGTATGTTTCCAGACTGGGCCAATAGTCCCTTGATAAGTGAGAACTATCAAGATATATGAACAATGACAGTAAAAGCCTCTCTTTAGTTGGTAAAGTATGAGTAGAATATTGGCCCGTGTCAGTAAACAGTGATAACTCTATAGTAATGTAGTGCATATGAAGACGCCTGACTCACAAACCCAAGGGCAATGCGTCTAATGTCTAGTTTCAGAGTGTGTCATTCACTGCAAACATATGTGTATAAAAAGTAGGCTGCCTTTATTAGAAGCTGAGAAATCAAAAACATTATCAACATCATTAATTAATACGTTTTGAAAAGACCACAATATTTGCCGTTTCCAGCATCATCATCATCGTTCCGTTCCACGACATGCTAACGCTCAGGAGTCCCTCTTTCAGGTGAACCGTGGCTCCTGCAGGAATCACAAGGCTTACAATTACAATGTCAGTACAGAGAAGAGACACGACAGTCCAAATCAAAGCAGATGATCCTTACATCAGTGACCCCTGCTCATGATCCAGTCTCTGAAGGCAAACAGGAGTCATTTGTGAATTTACACCTCCAAAAGTTGATACTAAATCGGTTGGTGCCAAAAGAGGCAGAAAACAGGTGTGCGTGTGTGGTCTCGACCCGGTCCCACTAACGCAGAGGGACGTTCTGCCAGATCACAATCTTTTTGTATTCGATTTGACATCAAACAACACAAAAAAACCTGATCGCCAAATTACTGATTTTCTCCTATGGCTTAAAATGTTGAATTTAGAATCAATTATGACGTTATAAAGGACTTGACATTCTCAGGACTCCACAGACAAGAGATGGAGCCACTAAAAAAATTAACTTGAAAGCAAAGATGCCTATAGCTGGCCTTGATTTAGATGAAATGGCAGTGGATCCTACTCTATCGGACTGAGCCAGTGTTTCATGGAATAACTAGAACATGTTGTACAGCGGCAGAAGGACGAGCCGCTCCCCTCGGCCAAACGGGCGTTGGAAAAGATCGGATAGGGCCTGCTTTTTCTTTAAAATCAAGATACATTTTATTTTTTCTTAAAAAACAAACATTACAAAAAAAATCTGAATAGAGAATTAGAACAATAAAACAACAGGAGAAAATGACAATCATTTTGGACAAAAAAAAAAAAAAAAAAAAAAAAAAATCACATCTCATACTTGCACTTATCAAAAAGGTACAAAAACAAAAGTGGTGGGGGAGGGGGGTCACCTGGCACAAGAGTTGAATCTAAGATGGTCGTGGTTCATGCCGTGAGATGAGAGACCACTGAAGCCGGATGTTTTAACCGTTAAAGCAGCTACAGACAATAAACGTAAAAACTTCTATGTTTAAGGCTCAGGAGGTTCTTTGAAGACGACAAACGTGAACAGAAGCAAACACGGCCCAAGTACCACAGGTTTCAGAGGTGGACTTCGGCCTCCGCCAGAAACACGTGATTGTGGTCGGTCTGACGGATCTGTTGACCACGCCCCCTCGCCGCGCTGAGGTCTGACGGATCTGTTGACCACGCCCCCTCGCCGCGCTGAGGTCTGACGGATCTGTTGACCACGCCCCCTCGCCGCGCTGAGGTCTGACGGATCTGTTGACCACGCCCCCTCGCCGCGCTGAGGTCTGACGGATCTGTTGACCACGCCCCCTCGCCGCGCTGAGGTCTGACAGATCTGTTGACCACGCCCCCTCGCCGCGCTGAGGTCTGACGGATCTGTTGACCACGCCCCCTCGCCGCGCTGAGGTCTGACGGATCTGTTGACCACGCCCCCTCGCCGCGCTGAGGTCTGACGGATCTGTTGACCACGCCCCCTCGCCGCGCTGAGGTCTGACGGATCTGTTGACCACGCCCCCATCGCCGCGCTGAGGTCTGACGGATCTGTTGACCACGCCCCCTCGCCGCGCTGAGGTCTGACAGATCTGTTGACCACGCCCCCCTCGCCGCGCTGAGGTCTGACAGATCTGTTGACCACGCCCCCTCGCCGCGCTGAGGTCTGACGGATCTGTTGACCACGCCCCCTCGCCGCGTGGAGGTCTGACGGACGCCCCATCTGGGTCTGACGGATCTGTTGACACGCCCCTCGCCGCGCTGAGGTCTGACAGATCTGTTGACCACGCCCCATCGCCGCGCTGAGGTCTGACGGATCTGTTGACCAGCCCCCTCGCCGCGCTGAGGTCTGACGGATCTGTTGACCACGCCCCCTCGCCGCGCTGAGGTCTGACGATCTGTGACCGCCCCCTCGCCGCGCTGAGGTCTGACAGATCTGTTGACCACGCCCCTCTGTGGTCTGACGGATCTGTTGACCACGCCCCCATCGCCGCGCTGAGGTCTGACGGATCTGTTGACCACGCCCCCCTCGCCGCGCTGAGGTCTGACGGATCTGTTGACCACGCCCCCTCGCCGCGCTGAGGTCTGACCTGTTGACCACGCCGCGCTGAGGTCTGACAGATCTGTTGACCACGCCCCCTCGCCGCGCTGAGGTCTGACGGATCTGTTGACCACGCCCCCTCGCCGCGCTGAGGTCTGACAGATCTGTTGACCACGCCCCCCTCGCCGCGCTGAGGTCTGACGGATCTATTGACCACGCCCCCTCGCCGCGCTGAGGTCTGACAGATCTGTTGACCACGCCCCCATCGCCGCGCTGAGGTCTGACGGATCTGTTGACCACGCCCCCTCGCCGCGTGGAGGTCTGACGGATCTGTTGACCACGCCCCCATCGCCGCGCTGAGGTCTGACGGATCTGTTGACCACGCCCCCTCGCCGCGCTGAGGTCTGACGGATCTGTTGACCACGCCCCCATCGCCGCGCTGAGGTCTGACGGATCTGTTGACCACGCCCCCTCGCCGCGCTGAGGTCTGACGGATCTGTTGACCACGCCCCCTCGCCGCGCTGAGGTCTGACGGATCTGTTGACCACGCCCCCATCGCCGCGCTGAGGTCTGACGGATCTGTTGACCACGCCCCCTCGCCGCGTGGAGGTCTGACGGATCTGTTGACCACGCCCCCTCGCCGCGCTGAGGTCTGACGGATCTGTTAACCACGCCCCCTCGCCGCGCTGAGGTCTGACGGATCTGTTGACCACGCCCCCTCGCCGCGCTGAGGTCTGACGGATCTGTTGACCACGCCCCCTCGCCGCGCTGAGGTCTGACGGATCTGTTGACCACGCCCCCATCGCCGCGCTGAGGTCTGACGGATCTGTTGACCACGCCCCCTCGCCGCGTGGAGGTCTGACGGATCTGTTGACCACGCCCCCTCGCCGCGCTGAGGTCTGACGGATCTGTTAACCACGCCCCCTCGCCGCGCTGAGGTCTGACGGATCTGTTGACCACGCCCCCATCGCCGCGCTGAGGTCTGACGGATCTGTTGAGACCGGTTGTATCCGGTAACATCACTGCAGCACGTGTTTCTGACTGAGACCGACACTGACCTCGGAAAACACGCAGTAATCAAACAGAACCAGCTTATTTACACTTGGTCTCATTAAAAGAACCGTCTGAGCCTGAAGCGGCTACAGAAGCATCACAAAGAAGCGCGTAACGAGGTGAGCCGCAACAAGGGCCGAGGAAACGGAAACGGCCGGACCAAGAAACTCCAAACAGTTTAATGAGAGATGGATTCCTGTTAAAAAGTATTTAAAACCAGAAGTGGGCAGAACACATGCAGTGCGGTGGGCATCGTCTCCGCGTAGAAACCGCACGGAGACAGTGAAATGACAGAAAGGACGGAGGGTCGCGTCTCAGACTCGGGGTGCGAGCTCGAGTCTCCACCATCCTGACAACAACGGGGCCCTGACCACAACCCGACAAAACTAACGAGTCCAAACCATTGCGCCAGGTCACCAGCAGAAAAACAAAACAAAATCAAAATAAACTCTAAATGCAGAGCAACAAAAGAAAAATAAATGAAGACGTAGAGCACTAGTCTTCTCCAGAGGGTGCTTCCTCCTCTGAGCCATCCTCCTCCTCCTCTCCCTCTGCTTCCTCCTCCTCCTCCTCTTCATCCTTCCCTGCGGCGGGCTCCTTCGTCTCCTTTGTCTTCTTGGGAGCAGGAGAGCTTTCCTTCTTCTCTGCTTCTTCCTCCTCCTCCTCTTCCACTGGGCTTTCTGGCTCCTCCTCTTCCTCCTCTTTGGGTGAGCGCTCCTCCTTGGCCTTGGTGCTGGGGCGACCCTTCCCTTTGCCTTTAGCTGGACTCGGGGTCACTGGAGAATACAGGAAAGACCATTTAGCAAAGTGTATCCATAGGTCTATAATAGTATCTGGATAGAGTATTACAAACTTATAGCTGTCCCACCCGTGGCCACAGGGGGCGCTGTGGTACTGCAGACTAAATTCACATTACCCAGAAAAATGTCTCATAGAACTCAATGTAAACTAAAACCTACAGCTTTCATAAAAAGGAGGATTCTGTGGATTTTAGCGTCTTGGACTTTTTTTTCAAACAAATCCTTCAGTTTTATATAAATCCACACTTTAGTGAAATAAACTGCTGATTTGCCTAACGCTCTCGCTCTGCTCTGATTGGTCAAAACGCTGCCTAAGTAGGAGACACAGATGTGTATTTGGTGCAAAGCATCATGGGAGCTCGTCCACTGCACAGAACCGGGAGGAACAGACAATGTCCAAATATGGGCGAGTTCCGCTAATCTCTCAGTCCCCGCGGAGGCACATGCACGACTGAGGACGCCATCTTGGATCACCAGGGCCAGTTTATCAGATCATTAGTTTAGTGTATTTAATATTTTTGATATGGACACAACAGTTACATGCACCGCCTTTAGTGTTAGCAAGACCGTGCTAATTTTCAACACAAGTAGTAAGTAATCTGAGTACTGAGTGAAGTACCAGGAGCACGTGTCTTCACACGTGTGCGCTGACGGGAAGAAGACACTAAAACTGAAGCAGGTTTACTTCTGTCCTCAGCCTCATGACACTTTATGAACAGATATTTTGAAGATACTTTCCCTGTTTCTCTTGAATGTTTTTGAATCTTCAAAGTCGTTGCATGACATCGTCTCAGAGGAAACTACAGGTTTTATCACACACTGTTGCACTGGTGTTTGGGGATAGAACCTTCTCTGCTGCTGAAGTCACTGCTCCAGCGACACATGAACACGTGAAAACAAACCGACCTGGTGCAGATACTTGGCCGAGTAACTAGTTTAGTAAATGTAATCTGATTACAGTAACCAGTCGTTATAAATGTACTGTTTGGTCTCACACTAAACACGTCTCAGTGGCACAGCCTTCTCTCTGGAGTCTGACCAGAGACACACACTCTCCATGTGTGTAACTGCTGCAAAAAGCAAGATCCCGTCAGAACCCTGAAGCTCAGCAGGACAGAACCTGGATAGTACTGTGATGGGAGACCTCTGGGAACTGTGGTTGTGTCCTTAGGCAAGACACTTCCCCCACATTAGAATGAGTCTGGTGTGTGTGTGAGAATGGTTGGTGGTGGTGGGAGGGGCCGATGACACAAACGGGTCACCTCGCTTCTGTCAGTGTGCCCCAGGGCAGCTGTGGCTCCAGTAGTAGTTTATTTAGTAGTTTCAGAATGAATAATGTGAAGGTCCTGTATAAACCTACTGTACTTTACATGATCATCGTTGGAAGCAGTTTGTGTGAATCTGAGATAACCAGCGAGGGTTTGTGTGACAGGGTCTTACCTGTTGCCTTTAGTCTGGGTTTAGGGGACTTCTTTTCCTTCCTGTTCGTCCGGCCCTGACGAATGACCTTCTTGCCTTTCTTTTTTGAGTGGCCATAGTCGCTGTCATCATCATCCTCCACCATGAAGTCTTCGTCACTGCCAGACTCGTCCGCTGCAGAACAGAGCGTGTGAGTGACCGAGTCCACAGAGGGATCCAGGGACACTCAGGATACTCACGGTCCAGATATGACTCCTCCTGCTCCTCGCGCTCCTCGTCCTCGCTGCCTCCGTCTCCGAGGAGGATCTCTCTCTGTTTGGACACGGCTTTGGAGGCGGCCTGACGCACCGTGCGCTTTCTGCTCACATCACGGTCATCGTCACTGTCGTCTGAGGAACACACAGCACACATGAGGAAGAGCCGTCACCCAGAACACATTGAGACATTTCAACAACTCTTTAAAAACACAGACCTGGTGTGTTGGAGAACAGTGTCATATCAAAACTATTTATTTTTTTTACTACAAAAAAACAATACCATCGTGGTCATTCCTGGGGGGCAACCATTGTCTACCTCCTGTCCTGGTGGACCCCCCCTTGATATAAGTCCTGGCTTTCTGCCTCCATTCTCACCCTGTCTCCACTCCCAACCATCTCAAGCCAACCTCCTCGGTATGAATATCTTTCTGCGTACGTCTGTGTGTGCGCGTGCGTGCGTCTGCGTGTGCCGCGTGCGTCTGTGTGTGCCGCGTGCGTCTGCGTGTGCCGCGTGCGTCTGTGTGTGCCGCGTACGTCTGTGTGTGCCGCGTGCGTCTGCGTGTGCCGCGTGCGTCTGCGTGTGCCGCGCGCGTCTGCGTGTGCCGCGTGCGTCTGCCGCGTGCGTCTGCGTGTACCGCGTGCGTCTGCGTGTGCCGCGTGAGTCTGCGTGTGCCGCGTGCGTCTGCGTGTGCCGCGTGCGTCTGCGTGTGCCGCGTGCGTCTGCGTGTGCCGCGTGAGTCTGCGTGTGCCGCGTGCGTCTGCGTGTGCCGCGTGCGTCTGCGTGTGCCGCTTGAGTCTGCGTGTGCCGCGTGCGTCTGCGTGTGCCGCGTGCGTCTGCGTGTGCCGCGTGAGTCTGCGTGTGCCGCGTGCGTCTGCGTGTGCCGCGTGCGTCTGCGTGTGCCGCGTGAGTCTGCGTGTGCCGCGTGCGTCTGCGTGTGCCGCGTGCGTCTGCGTGTGCCGCGTGAGTCTGCGTGTGCCGCGTGCGTCTGCGTGTGCCGCGTGAGTCTGCGTGTGCCGCGTGCGTCTGCCGCGTGCGTCTGCGTGTGCCGCGTGAGTCTGCGTGTGCCGCGTGAGTCTGCGTGTGCCGCGTGCGTCTGCGTGTGCCGCGTGCGTCTGCGTGTGCCGCGTGCGTCTGTGTGTGCCGCGTGCGTCTGTGTGTGCCGCGTACGTCTGTATGTACGTCTGTATAACTATGCTTTAGTGTCATTAAATGTCTTCACATCCATCTGGTTTGGACCTAATATCTAGGACATCAACAACTATGACATGATTATATAATATTGTCATGGTAACAACCATGCTGTCACAATCCATGAACTTAAACATAACTTTGATCTTCTCTTTGAAGATAATGAACATTTTATATTTTTGATTTTCTAAGACGTAGGACACTAATAACACAATAATTTAAACTGAATGGTTGAGTGCAGTTTGATGTTAAAGTGCCTAAAACCAAGTGCTTGAGACGCTTCAAAGGTTTCAGTTCCGAGCTTCGAGTCGATACAGAGACATTAACGTGTCAAAGTGCTGCTCGTCACTTTAGAACACTTCTCCTGAACTTTACAAGAACATTTAAACTGACTCTAAACCTAATGTGAAAGATTATTATCAAACATGAACAGCAGAGACTGGAGCTCAGACACACACAGGGTGCTTGCTCTTTTTCCAAATTAAAATTCCAGACTTTAAAAAACTGATATTTTTTTTCCCAACACCCAAACTTTGTTCTTGTGTAAACTGTGTTTATTAGAAATGTTTATTTAACAGGCTCGTATCCAATGAACAAATACATTATCCACGATGCCTTTGAGCGCACTGTAAAATTCTACCACACATTTTATTTCCATACTTAAGACTTTCAGACTCGCACACAGCAACACCATCTTTCGTAGCAGAGAGACAGTAAATAAAACATGTTTAATGACGTCTGAGTGTCCACTGCATTATTATTATTATTATTATTATTATGAAATACCTCCAGCGTCTCGTTTCCTCTTCGGGGTCTTCTTGGCGACTTTCTCTGGTTTTACTTTCTTCCCCTTTTTCCCTTTTTTTTCTTCATAATCACTTCCTCCGTCTTCCTCCTCCTCCTCTTCTCCAAATTCATTGTCTTCCTCCTCACTTCCAAAGTCCTCTGTAACAAAACCAGACGAGATTGATTATATATTTAGATATATTGACTGATGCTAACGTTAGCGAGGGAGCTAGTGCTGGACACTCACCGGCGGAGTCGTTCTTCTCTTTGGAAACCTTCTCATCAGAATCCTCACTGAGAAGAAGAGTCAGACTTTAGTTTCTTTACTGTTCCCAGTGTAAAGGAACAAGACATTGATATATAAAGTGACCAGAGACAAATGCACGACTCCTTTAACTGAACACTGTAAAAACTGATAAAATATGAAGAAATGGTTAAAATCGAGTGCATTTCTGTATCTTTTTAAAACAAGATCCTTCAGTTTTGTCCCATTGGAGAATATTGTGTAAAGCTCAGTCAGAACGTGTCAGATTAAAACACATTTGAGAAATGTTTTAGATTATTCAGTTTTTTGACATTTGCAGTAAAACCACATTGGAATAAGTTAAAGAGTGCACGAGACAAGTACATACAAAACTAGGTTAAAAAGTACAGAGTAAAGTACAAGTAAAACAGTTGTTGCTAGATCAACAAAAACACTTTCAATACTTACTACCACTACATTTTCCTTATCCGTCATCAGTCTCTGCAGCGTGGCGCCCACACCAGCTTCGAGATGTTGACAGTTTTTAAAGCTTAGGTTTCTTGTAAATATCTAAAACTAGTGAAATATTTTAGGTCACAAAAGCCAATCAAATACGTTCCAACTTCCCTCCTGCATTTCTCCTGCAGCTTCAAACCCTCCCGAGGGTCATATGACTCAACAGGTCATCAGGAGACCAAAGCTTCACACCGGAGCTGGATGAAGATCGAACATCATCAAGAATCGACTCACAACACACTAAATACTCGTGTGGTCTGAGAGTGTTCCAGCTTCTTCCCTCTGGCAGAAGATATCGTTGGCTGCGATGACATATGGACACGCTAACATGCTAACACGCTAACAGCTGGTATCAGTCTGAACAAAGCACTTTAACTCTTCATTTCACAGCGACAATTGTTTCTGACCTTTTGTTTATTTTATTATTTTCTTTTAGCTTGTTTCATTCATGCATTAGTCTGCTGCACACTGCGGACTTTTGCATGAGTATTCCAGTGTGGTTTTACTGCAAATGGGAATTATTGTGGAAACTATTAACAGAAAGATTGTGGCAAAGGTTTGTGTCTGTAACCTCCCTGTGCTAAGAGGGGCAGCTGAAGGAAGGAGGCGGAGGGAGACCCAGGACCATGGACAAAGGACCAGCGATTCCAACCATGTGATTCAATGTGTTTGAATGGCTTTTTGTGCTGCTCTCTCTCAATCTGTGAACTTCTGCTTCAGGTGCAATAAACCAGGAGGAGTCATGTTTGTGTAGATATGACCTCATCACATCCACCTTCAGCCGATCAGCAACAAGGAAACACGTGTCCAAGGACCAGGTTTCACTCAAACTGTTTTTACTTCACAAAACGTGGATTACAACGATCAGAAGTGAGAGAGCAGAGACACAGAGCCGACGTGAGCGAGAAGGAGGGAGCTGCAGACTGCACTGCAAAAAGTGAGGACTAACAAGCTAAAAATTACTAAAATTTGACTAAATCTGTCTTTGAGCACATTCTGACTGAGCCTTATAAGATTCTCCAATGGGACAAAGACAAATGATCTTGTTTCAAAACGATAAAAGAAATGTCTCCGTTGGAATAAGGGAATAACGCAACAGTTCTTGAAATAAAACTGAATGTCTTCGTCCCGTTGGAGAATCTAGTTTTAAAGAAGTCAAAATGTGTCAGATTAAGATAAAAACACTTGATTCAAGACTTAATTACCTCATCATTTATAGTTTTTTGCAGTGTGGTCTGAGCTGCAGGTCTGACAGGAGACGGTTTAAAGTGGTATTTTATTAAAACTAGGATTAAAGGCAAAATATTAAAACTGATGTTGGTTAAGAGCAGGAGATCCGCCGTTCTTTCTTTCTCCAAATATGTTCAGAACCTCAGTCACTGGCCTTTGCTCGTCTCGTAAACTGTAGAGTAGTTAAAAATAAATATTAGAAAAGAACCGCACTCTCCACTTTGTGAACCAAACTCTCTGCTCTGATTGGACGAGCACATATCACCAGAATGATTGACAGTTGGGAGGACCAATAGTGTTGATGATCCACCCGGTAGTAGAAAATCAAAATACCAAATACACACTTTTAAATCTCATCTGCTTTGTCCAAATACACAAACCCTTCTCTGTGTGTATTTGTGTTGGTTTGAATAAACAATAAGTGTTCTATAAATGTATTAAAAAGTCAGACACACACAGACGGAGACACACACAGATGGACACACACTAACACGGGTAGACACACAGACACACACAGGTGTTGGCCTCACCTTTCCTCCTTTGAGTTCTTTGTGCGTTTGTGCTTTGGTTCTCGTGGCGCTGAGCGAACCTTCTTAGGCTTGTCGCCTCCGTATTCATCTGAGACAGAAACACACATCAGTCTGGGTACTACACACACACAAGACACACACATGTCAGTCTGGGTACTAGACACACACGTCAGTCTGGGAACTACACACACACACTCACACAAGACACACACACACGTCAGTCTGGGTACTACACACACACACACACGTCAGAGTCTGGGTACTACACACACACACACGTCAGAGTCTGGGTACTACACACACACACACGTCAGAGTCTGGGTACTACACACACACATCATGGATTAAATCAACAAAGTATGAAATAATTATCAGTTGATTCGACTTTTGTCATTCATCTGTAGTTTATATTTGATGTTTTGACATGTTCTTTGTTTTCAAAAGACTAATAAATATATGGTTAAGTAATTTATCTGTTTTATCTGTTGTGACTGACGTCTGTTGTGACTGACGTCTGCTGTGACTACGACGTCTGTTGTGACTACGACGTCTGTTGTGACTACGACGTCTGTTGTGACTACGACGTCTGTTGTGACTACGACGTCTGTTGTGACTACGACGTCTGTTGTGACTACGACGTCTGTTGTGACTACGACGTCTGTTGTGACTACGACGTCTGTTGTGACTGACGTCTGTTGTGACTGACGTCTGTTGTGACTGACGTCTGTTGTGACTGTGACGTCTGCTGTGACTGCGACGTCTGCTGTGACTGCGACGTCTGCTGTGACTGCGACGTCTGCTGTGACTGCGACGTCTGCTGTGACTGCGACGTCTGTTGCGACGTCTGTTGCGACGTCTGTTGCGACGTCTGTTGCGACGTCTGTTGCGACGTCTGTTGCGACGTCTGTTGCGACGTCTGTTGCGACGTCTGTTGCGACGTCTGTTGCGACTGCGACGTCTGTTGCGACTGCGACGTCTGTTGCGACTGCGACGTCTGTTGCGACTGCGACGTCTGTTGCGACTGCGACGTCTGTTGTGACTGCGACGTCTGTTGTGACTGCGACGTCTGTTGTGACTGCGACGTCTGTTGTGACTGCGACGTCTGTTGTGACTGCGACGTCTGTTGTGACTGCGACGTCTGTTGTGACTGCGACGTCTGTTGTGACTGCGACGTCTGTTGTGACTGCGACGTCTGTTGTGACTGCGACGTCTGTTGTGACTGCGACGTCTGTTGTGACTGCGACGTCTGTTGTGACTGCGACGTCTGTTGTGACTGCGACGTCTGTTGTGACTGCGACGTCTGTTGTGACTGCGACGTCTGTTGTGACTGCGACGTCTGTTGTGACTGCGACGTCTGTTGTGACTGCGACGTCTGTTGTGACTGCGACGTCTGTTGTGACTGCGACGTCTGTTGTGACTGCGACGTCTGTTGTGACTGCGACGTCTGTTGTGACTGCGACGTCTGTTGTGACTGCGACGTCTGTTGTGACTGCGACGTCTGTTGTGACTGCGACGTCTGTTGTGACTGCGACGTCTGTTGTGACTGTCTGTTGACGCGGCTGTTGTGACTGCGACGTCTGTTGTGACTGCGACGTCTGTTGTGACTGCGACGTCTGTTGTGACTGCGACGTCTGTTGTGACTGCGACGTCTGTTGTGACTGACGTCTGTTGTGACTGCGACGTCTGTTGTGACTGCGACGTCTGTTGTGACTGCGACGTCTGTTGTGACTGCGACGTCTGTTGTGACTGCGACGTCTGTTGTGACTGCGACGTCTGTTGTGACTGCGACGTCTGTTGTGACTGCGACGTCTGTTGTGACTGCGACGTCTGTTGTGACTGCGACGTCTGCTGTGACTGACGTCTGCTGTGACTGACGTCTGCTGTGACTGACGTCTGTTGTGACTGACGTCTGTTGTGACTGTGACGTCTGTTGTGACTGTGACGTCTGTTGTGACTGACGTCTGTTGTGACTGACGTCTGTTGTGACTGACGTCTGTTGTGACTGACGTCTGTTGTGACTGACGTCTGTTGTGACTGACGTCTGTTGTGACTGACGTCTGTTGTGACTGTGACGTCTGTTGTGACTGTGACGTCTGTTGTGACTGTGACGTCTGTTGTGACTGACGTCTGTTGTGACTGTGACGTCTGTTGTGACTGTGACGTCTGTTGTGACTGTGACGTCTGTTGTGACTGTGACGTCTGTTGTGACTGTGACGTCTGTTGTGACTGTGACGTCTGTTGTGACTGTGACGTCTGTTGTGACTGTGACGTCTGTTGTGACTGACGTCTGTTGTGACTGACGTCTGTTGTGACTGTGACGTCTGTTGTGACTGTGACGTCTGTTGTGACTGACGTCTGTTGTGACTGTGACGTCTGTTGTGACTGTGACGTCTGTTGTGACTGCGACGTCTGTTGTGACTGTGACGTCTGTTGTGACTGTGACGTCTGTTGTGACTGACGTCTGTTGTGACTGTGACGTCTGTTGTGACTGTGACGTCTGTTGTGACTGTGACGTCTGTTGTGACTGTGACGTCTGTTGTGACTGTGACGTCTGTTGTGACTGACGTCTGTTGTGACTGACGTCTGTTGTGACTGTGACGTCTGTTGTGACTGACGTCTGTTGTGACTGTGACGTCTGTTGTGACTGTGACGTCTGTTGTGACTGTGACGTCTGTTGTGACTGACGTCTGCTGTGACTCTCTGATGTCTGCTTGTTGTGACAGACCATAATAAATGTCATATTTTACACTGTATTTAAATAAGGACATGAATGGCGATACAGACAGAATCGAATCACCTTCTGTCTGTATCGCAATATTGTAATCAATGATATGTGCAGAACGATTTTGTTTTTATCCTCAGCTGTTTGAAATCAGCGTCTGTGGCATCAAGAGAAACTTATAAAAGATAGATTTTAAGAATATAAAATAAAAATGCTTGAACGAAGATGTGAGGATGATGTGAATTCAGTCTGAAGTTATTTTGTAAATGTTTATTTAAATTGTATGTTTTAAATGTTTTTATGTGATTTTATTCTTTGTGGACCTCGGGAAGACTAGCGACCACCTGTGGAAGCTAACGAGGATCCAAATGAACAACCTTTCAAAAAATATTAAAAAAGCGATAATATTGAATTGTGGCACAAACATCGCAGTACTGTGGAACACATTTTGGCCAGTCCCCAGCCCCGATAATAACGACCGCTCATGCTCACTCACCTTCACCGTCAGACTCGTTGAATTGAGAGTAGTTCACCACCTTTCGATTCCTGCAACAAAATAAACAGTTGTTCAATCCTAGATCATTTTTAGCAGCTTGATTCTAAAGCGTTTGCAAGAACTAGTTTATCTTCATGGTAAATGCAAAAACTAAAGCTACACCAGGTACAGCAGCATCAACAATAGAACGATACTAACACCATCACACACAGTTTTTAAGTTTGTTGACTAAACTTTGGTTCGTGTCCTATTTTTAAGTATTGTCCTTGGGTGAAAAAGCACAGACACAATACACATCTGCGTCTCTTTGTGGACACTAAGGTTATTATAGTAGTTTCTTTATGGTGCAGGAGGGACTAAGGACAGGGGTGATGATTCAGGACACTATAAATCCAACATATTTGTACATTGGCTTCTGTCTCTTATGAACCAAAGCTTCTATGTGTTTTTTTTTATCATTGCATTTCTAGCGTTTGAACTGCTTCTCTGATTTGTTGTTGGCGAATCCGCAGCTTCGCAGAGTCCTTCAAGATAACAACTGTTGTAATTTACACACAGAACAAACGCAATTGAATAAACTGACTCCGATCACAGCGGGGTCCTGGGGGTCCTGAGGGGGTGTGGTCACGGAGCTGTGCCGCTGACATGCAACCGCTAAAGCCAATTTATGACCAACATCTACCACACGTTTCCACCTTCGCTCCAACTTCACCCTTTCCCAATGCATCTCAAAAATACGTGTTAAAAGCATCTAAAAAAACACTGCACATTGCACAAATCTGCCGTTCTCAGTCTGCGCGGCAACCGGATCAAACGCCAGGGCCGACGCCACCTCCTCTTTTTCTGGTTGGAGCATTAGCATTTCGAGCTGGATGAATGGGTGGCCATATTCTCATTCTTTCTGCGAGAGGGAAACGCAGAGAAGGCGCCCGAGTGAAGGCTGAATAATGCAGCCGAGTGAAAACACAGCCGTAGCGTCGTGCACGGCCTGTAGCGCGGCTCACGACGTCGGTAACGCGCAGACACACGGGGGCTCCGCGGGCAGGAGACATGGCGAACAGGGCTCACCGCTGCCTGGGATCCATGTTGGAGCAGCAGTCACTCTGCCTCATGCACACTGCCTCATGCACACGCTTCTGCAGTCGTGCTTGATCAAATAAAACCCTCGCTGCAGACCAGAGCCGTGCACGTAGGACGCTCGGCTCCGGCGGCGTCTCTGCGTGAGCCTCGGTGAGCACGCTTTAGCACACCTACCTCACTGGTCTTGACATTTTGCAGGAATACTGTGGAGGTTGTGGATGTAAGAAAGAGAAAAAAAGCACGATGAAACAAATAAAGCCCCGTTCTGCAAAAACCAAGGGGAGCGACGGCGACGTCCTACTCCAGCGTCCGGGCGTCTGCTCAAACCAACACCGCGACTTGCTCTTCAATGTTTCTTATTTTTTAGCCCAGCTACTCAAAATGGTGAATAAAACAAACTGAAACTGCAGCCTGTGTGCAACCAACCCCTGCGGCCTGGAAGGGGCGGATCCCAGGCTGTGACTCCGCCCACACGGGAAGACGAGAGGCGAGCTGACGCGCTGCCCGCTGGTGATTGGCCGGTTTGAACCACGGTCTCGCACCTGATTGGTCCACGCGCGCGCTCATCAAAACATGCGCCACGAGACCCGCCTCCGTTATCATGCGCGGTTGAAACAGAGCAGTTAAGAAAACAAAAAGAGGCCCTCAGGTTGGACGGGAACGTTCATTCAAACTACTCCCCCTCGATCAGAGCGTAACTTCGTAACCACAGACTCTAGGTGTTGTTTACGTCTCATTCAATAATAATAATAATAACAATAATAATAATAGTATTCGTCACGTTGCTTCACCTGGCGCCATAGCGGGGGCAGGTAGGGGGCGTTACAGAGGCTGAGGAGCCAGTCTATAATAAGATCCATAATAAACAATCAACAGCTGCACACAACCCGTTATAATCCAGAGCAGGAAGTGGAGTACAGTCTACACTTCACTGCTGCAGAACAAAAACAACACTGAAGAATGATTCTGTCCTCAATAATAATACCGTAGATTATGATTGAGGTTTGAATCTATTCTGTTAGAAGTTGCTTTATTAATTTGGCTTTAAATTGTTCAATGCATAATGTTAGAAGTGAAAAATCTGATCAAAAGATGTGACATAGAAATTAGAGATTTTATACTAGCTTCTTTATTATGCTAAAGCTAGAGATTTATACTAGCTTCTTTATTATGCTAAAGCTAGAGATTTTATACTAGCTTCTTTATTATGCTAAAGCTAGAGATTTTATACTAGCTTCTTAATTATGCTAAAGCTAGAGATTTTATACTAGCTTCTTTATTATGCTAAAGCTAGAGATTTTATACTAGCTTCTTTATTATGCTAAAGCTAGAGATTTTATACTAGCTTCTTTATTATGCTAAAGCTAGAGATTTTATACTAGCTTCTTTATTATGCTAAAGCTAGAGATTTTATACTAGCTTCTTTATTATGCTAAAGCTAGAGATTTTATACTAGCTTCTTTATTATGCTAAAGCTAGAGATTTAATTTTATTTTAGTTCTGAGTTATTGTTAATCGTGTGCTGTGGACTCCTCCTTCCTAACTGCTGATGCAACACTGACATTTCCCCACTGTGGGACCAATAACAGGCTCTCTTAATCTTCAATTCCATTTATTTATGTATCGCCCTAAATCACGACAGTAGTTTATCTCGGAGGACTTTACAAAACTGTCGATTCGCCAACAACAGATCAGAGAATCAAACAGTTCAAACATAAGAATAATAAGAACAGACCAGTGTCCATAGATCTTCCATTCCTTCCTAATCATTTTTGTTTAAAGGATGATGTGAAATGTTTACTGAGACTTGTGTTGTTTTAAGATAAGATAAGATAAGAGTTCCTTTATTGGGGAAATGTCAATGTTGCAGCGCACAGACAGGACAGTAGTCAGAGACACAGAGAGCACACACTATACACAGATAAGTAGTAGCTGTGTTTCTTAACTATCTGTAAACGCTGTAAATGCTTCGATGCCAGTCTTTCAAAATAAAATATATACATGTGGTAGTGCAGAGTTATGTACTGTACAGATAGAGCAGGATAAGAAGTAGATAAAGTAAAGAGACTTTGTTCTGTGACTTTCTGAAGGAGCAGTTTTAACATTGCACATGATTTAAGAATTTACTTATTTACAGATGGATGACATTTACAGGCTCAGCAGTTCTCATTGTACAGTCTGACAGCAGCAGGAAGGAAAGACCTGCGAAACCTCTCCTTCACACAGCGAGGGTGAATTAGTCTGTCACTGAAGCTGCTCTCCAGAGCAGAGAGAGTGTCCTGCAGGGGGCGACAGTCATGGTCCAGATGTTAGTTTGTCCAGGACCCTCCTGTCCCCCACCTGCTGCACTGTGTCCAGGGAACAGCCCAGGACTGTAAATGCTTTCCATACTGTATGTTTTTCATGTTTAATGTCCATTAATGTTGAGAAAGTCCATAAATGTAGTTGAGTGTCCTGGATCATCTCTGTCCCTAGAGCCTCCTGAATCTGCAAGAAATAACTCCAGTGGGAATGAATAATCTTAATCCTAATCTCGTGATAGACGCAGTTCTGAGAGCAAACACTAGATACATGTATATTATATTATTATTTATGTAGATTCTTATTTATGCATGCCTTCTTGTCTTTATTCTGCTTTGACGTGTTCGCACCGAGAGCCAAAGACATCTCCTAGTTTGTGACTTTCAATAAAAGGATTCTGATTCTGATTCTGGTGTATTTTCTTTGTGGTTTCAAAGGGACGTACTCCAGCTTCGAGGCATGAATCTGAAACGGGAGGTTCTACTTTCCCCTTTGAGAGTGAATCGGGAGTACAGACTGTCAGCCTCGAGTCTCTTCCCAATGTTCATGACTTTTATGAGGACCAGGTAGCCTCCGTTGCCATGGAAACCCCGTCTCTCCATGTGCTCTGTATTCAGGTTCAGGCGCAGACGACGCACACTCAGCCTCCAGACCTCAACACTGTTCAGAAAGACACACAAAACATCACTCACCCACGAACTTCTGGGTCTAGGTCCAGGTGTTTGTGAGATAAAGGATTACGCTGTCGTCATGATCTTGGTCTGGGGCGGTTCATGAACTTTCTCATTGAGGACCGGCTTCAAAATGTGTTCAGTTTAATGTGGGTTTGTATGGAGCTAAATCACAACAGGACGACTTTACAAAGCTGTCGATTTATCAACACAGATCAGAGAATCAAACTGTTCAAACACAGGAAATGTATTGATAAAAACACAGACAGACATTGGTCCAAAAGGAGCAGAGACTAAAGTCCATAAAGTCCAGGTCCTGGATCATCTCTGACCTTAGAACCTCCTGCACACTGCAAAAAGTGATGGAAAAAAATTGCTCTAATTTGGCAACATGCGTCTTATTCCGAGCACATTCTGACTGAGCCTTAAAACCAACCTTCTCCAATGACACAGAAGAATCTTGTTTTATAAAGATACAGAAATATGTCCTCTGGAATGAGAAAATAAAGCAACAGTTCTAGAAATAAAACGAAATGGTTCAGATTAAGATCTGACTTTTCTGAAATTTCAACAATAAAAATAAAAAAATAAAAAAGACATCGAGGCTGTCTTGCTTTTTTGAAATGGTTCCTTTAATTTTTGCGTCTTAAGAATGCTTTGGTGCAAAAAGTGAAAAAATAAGTCAAAAGTTTGGCTAAATGTATCTTAACATTCAGCACATTCTGACTGAGTCTTAAAACCAGATTCTCCAGTGGGACAAACACAATTATCTGGTTTTTAAAAGACACAGAAATGTCTCGGTTTGAGTGAGAATGAGGAAATCAAGCAACAGTTCTTCAAATTAGACTAAATGACTTTGTCCTGTTGGAGAATCTGATTTTAACGCAGTCAGAATGTGTCAGATTACGATTAAAAAAAACACTCGATTCAAGAAATTATTACCTCATATTTTGTTTTTTTCAGTGCATTTAAAAACAATACACCGGTCTTTAATAACATGTGTGTTCTGTAGTCGTCGGAAATGTGAGGATTGACCAGAAGAACAAACAGATTTACAATGGAATAACTAAGAATGATGATAATAGTTTAGAGAGAAATTAATTCAGTTTGAGAAATGATCAGTGGAAAACCCAACTCTGCCACTAGAGGGCAGTACACAGCTATAAATGAACCTGAAACACAGAGAAGTTGTGATTAACTCTGGATAAAAGTCCTTTATCAACAATGACACATGGTTCTGTTGTTTACATCCCGGGGTTAGGGCTATGGGTGATGTTTGTTCGTGTCTTTTGTCTGACTTTGTTTCCTCAGTGTCATTTAAAGCTGAGCACTTTGATAAACTTCTACTTGTCTTAACTTCTTCCCACTCCTCTTCGAGCTGGATTTTTGTTAATCAAACATAACATACTGTATAGTTGTGTATTATCACGTCCAACACAACACAGTTTATTCTTATATTTCCTTAAATCACGACAGAATCATCTCAGAAACTGAACAAAACCATTAAAATCACAAAATCAGAGAAGACACAGAGAGATCACATGGAATTAATTTTTATATTCTGATGTTTTGATGTTGTTCTTTGTTCTTGTTCGCCATGGCTCAAAAAAAAGATAAAAAATGGCTAGAATTTGGTAAAATGTGTCTTAATCTGAGCACATTGTGACTGAGCCTTAAACTAGATTCTCCAGTGGGACAAAACAAAATGATCTTGTTTTAAAAAAGATACAGAAATGTCTCCTTTGGAATGAGGAAATAAAGGAACAGTTCTCGAAAAATCCTGTTTTTAGTCAGAATATACTCAAGTTAAACGGATAAAGGAAGATTTTCTCACATTTTAGGAAAGAACCGCCCTCTCTGCTTTTTGAACTAAACTCTCTGGTCTGATTGGACGAGCACGTGTCACCAGAATGATTGACAGTTGGGAGGACCAATAGTGTTGATGATCCACCCGGAAATAGACAATCCTCCTGTAGACCTTCAAGATAAAAGCCTGATTTATACAATACAGTACAATGTATTGTTGTATAGCCCTAGGTCACAACAGAAGTCATCTCAGAGACTTAACAAAACCATTGAAATCACCAACACAGGTCAGAGAATCAACAGTTAAAACACATGAAGAATATAAAGCACACACAGAAGAAAATGTCCATACATGTTGTAGAATGCTAAAGTGTCCTGATCATCACCAATCCTTTCTGTTGGACACTAACTGTCCAACAAGACCCTCCTGCATCGACAAGGAAAAACTCTTAAAAAACCCAGTGGGAAAAAGTGAGAAACCTTGGGGAGAACTAGGGAAACCCACAGGGAGGGAGACCCATATGAGAAAGGGATCCGCTCCTCCGGACGGACAGGCTAATGATCCAGGACCTAAGCTAGCTACAGGACGTGGACCAGTGGCCGCTGAACGTGGACAGGTCCGGTGCAGGACTGAAGCACTCCCAGGCGGGTCGGGCGGGGCAGTCCGCAGGTGTAGATGGAGGAAACAGACAATGGGACAATGGGTGAATAGCAATGAACAAACTACAGTCAGAATCCTAATAATGCTAAACAGATAAAGTAGGAAGGAGGAGAGGATAGTGCAGTTACCATACTTCTCCAGCAGGGGGCTCCCTATGCAGCTTGACTGACAGTCTGAGGAGTTTAGCCTTCCCTGAGTCTTACCTTCCTAGCCATATGCTAAACTAAAGAGGACTGTTTTAAACCTAGCCTTGAATAAAGAGAGCGTATCTGAAAGGAGGCGAGACAGCAGCAGCCACGGCTAGGCTAGCCCAGGCTACAGCACCAAGACTCATGGATTGCACACCAGGTGTGCCAAACCGATCCAAGCAAACAGCCTAACTATATGCTATATTAAAGTAAGTGCATTAAGCCTGACCGTCTCTGCTTCCTTAACATGAATGGGAAGCTTTTTAATTATGTTTCCTAACGGCAGCATGAGAGAGTGAAAAGAATCGGTCCGACTACCGCCCTATAGTTTATCCTTTGTTGCCGTGGAGATCACATTGAGGCTGTTCTTTCATCCTCGGAGGTATTTGTTGGTACAATATTATAAACATTTACATTTATACGTATTACATAATTTTAGACTTTGTTCTTTATTTTGCTAAAGTTACAGATTTTATTCTCACAATAATACAGAGTTATTGTTCATTTGTCTCTTCTGTAACCGCTGATGCAACACTGACATTTCCCCGCTGCGACACCAATAAAGGATCTTCATCCTAATACTGATCTTAATTTTCCATTTGAGAATAAAAACAATCTGTAAAATTCTGAACAAACTCTGTAAAAAATCTCTAAAAATTCTCTAAAAATCTGTCTAATTCTGCTAACATCGTTTCTGTTCTTTATGTTGTCATTTTCAGCTGTCGTTTTTCTTTTCTCCGGGGAAAAGTACCAAGAACGAGTCCGACCACATTCTGTCTGTGAGTCTGAGACCTGTGAGTCTGAGACCTGTGAGTCTGAGCCCTGTGAGTCTGAGCCCTGTGATTCTGAGCCCTGTGAGTCTGAGCCCTGTGAGTCTGAGCCCTGTGAGTCTGAGCCCTGTGAGTCTGAGCCCTGTGAGTCTGAGCCCTGTGAGTCTGAGCCCTATGAGTCTGAGCCCTGTGAGTCCGAGCCCTGTGAGTCCGAGCCCTGTGAGTCTGAGCCCTGTGAGTCTGAGCCCTGTGAGTCGGAGCCCTGTGAGTCTGAGCCCTGTGAGTCTGAGCCCTGTGAGTCTGAGCCCTGTGAGTCTGAGCCCTGTGAGTCTGAGCCCTGTGAGTCGGAGCCCTGTGAGTCTGAGCCCTGTGAGTCTGAGCCCTGTGAGTCGGAGCCCTGTGAGTCTGAGCCCTGTGATTCTGAGCCCTGTGATTCTGAGCCCTGTGAGTCTGAGCCCTGTGAGTCTGAGCCCTGTGAGTCTGAGCCCTGTGAGTCTGAGCCCTGTGAGTCTGAGCCCTGTGAGTCTGAGCCCTGTGAGTCTGAGCCCTGTGAGTCTGAGCCCTGTGATTCTGAGCCCTGTGAGTCTGAGCCCTGTGAGTCTGAGCCCTGTGAGTCTGAGCCCTGTGAGTCTGAGCCCTGTGAGTCTGAGCCCTGTGAGTCTGAGCCCTGTGAGTCTGAGCCCTGTGAGTCTGAGCCCTGTGATTCTGAGCCCTGTGAGTCTGAGCCCTGTGAGTCTGAGCCCTGTGAGTCTGAGCCCTGTGAGTCTGAGCCCTGTGAGTCTGAGCCCTGTGAGTCTGAGCCCTATGAGTCTGAGCCCTGTGAGTCTGAGCCCTGTGATTCTGAGCCCTGTGAGTCTGAGCCCTGTGAGTCTGAGCCCTGTGAGTCTGAGCCCTATGAGTCTGAGCCCTATGAGTCTGAGCCCTGTGAGTCTGAGCCCTGTGATTCTGAGCCCTGTGAGTCTGAGCCCTGTGAGTCTGAGCCCTGTGAGTCTGAGCCCTATGAGTCTGAGCCCTATGAGTCTGAGCCCTGTGAGTCTGAGCCCTGTGATTCTGAGCCCTGTGAGTCTGAGCCCTGTGAGTCTGAGCCCTGTGAGTCTGAGCCCTGTGAGTCTGAGCCCTGTGAGTCTGAGCCCTGTGAGTCTGAGCCCTGTGAGTCTGAGCCCTGTGATTCTGAGCCCTGTGAGTCTGAGCCCTGTGAGTCTGAGCCCTGTGAGTCTGAGCCCTGTGAGTCTGAGCCCTGTGAGTCTGAGCCCTGTGAGTCTGAGCCCTGTGAGTCTGAGCCCTGTGATTCTGAGCCCTGTGAGTCTGAGCCCTGTGAGTCTGAGCCCTGTGAGTCTGAGCCCGTGAGTCTGAGCCCTGTGAGTCTGAGCCCTGTGAGTCTGAGCCCTGTGAGTCTGAGCCCTATGAGTCTGAGCCCTATGAGTCTGAGCCCTGTGAGTTTGAGCCCTGTGAGTCTGAGCCCTGTGAGTCTGAGCCCTGTGATTCTGAGCCCTGTGAGTCTGAGCCCTGTGAGTCTGAGCCCTGAGCCCTATGAGTCTGAGCCCTATGAGTCTGAGCCCTGTGAGTCTGAGCTCTGTGAGTCTGAGCCCTGTGAGTCTGAGCCCTATGAGTCTGAGCCCTGTGAGTCTGAGCCCTGTGAGTCTGAGCCCTGTGAGTCTGAGCCCTGTGAGTCTGAGACCTGTGAGTCTGAGCCCTGTGAGTCTGAGCCCTGTGAGTCTGAGCCCTGTGAGTCTGAGCCCTGTGAGTCTGAGCCCTGTGAGTCTGAGCCCTGTGAGTCTGAGCCCTGTGAGTCTGAGCCCTGTGAGTCTGAGTCCATGGTCCTCACATAGATCCATGGTCTTTCCTTTCAGCTTTGGGGCTTCAGGCAGAGTGGGGTTAAGTGTCTTGCTCAGGAACCCAACGACAGCAGACGTCAGTGGGAGACATGAGTCCAGAGGAGATCAAACCCACAACCTCTAGGTCCAAAGTCCGAGAAATAAAAACTGTCTTTCTGTAATTTATTTTTAAATAAAGATTTTTATAAAAAACAAAGTCTCCTCGATACAGTTAATGTCACTCACTGCAGTCTGAGTCTGCCTCTCTCAGCCTGCCCCAGGGCAGCTGTAGCAACAGTTTGACAGTTGGACTGTGCAGCGCCTTTGATATTTGTGTGAAAAGCACTATATCATGTTTTATAGATATTAGTATATATAAACACTATTTACTGAACACTATACTTTATGTCATATTCTACCCCTTTATTATTCCATTTCTGGGTCCGGGGGGAGAGGGGGGGGGGGCAATCAGAGCTGCCCGAGTCTCATGGCCCCAGTCCCTCGCTGATCCTCTGCAGGTTATGAGTCCACAGGAAGACAGCTTCTCTGTCACCTACAAGATGGCCTTGGTCTTCAGGCGATGTGGGGTTAAGTGTGTTGCCCAGGGACACAACAACAGCAGACATCAGTGGGAGTCGGTCGAGATAGTCTTGTGATGGACCCATAACCTTCAGGCTCAAGGACCAGGGGTCTCCAACCTGTAGCTCAGGAGTAGTAGCGACCAGTAGCTCGCCACCCTCTTCTAGATAGCTCTCCAAAGGATTTAGAAATGAACAAATCAAATAATACTCTAATGTTACAGATATTATTATTCATTATCAAAATTCTTTGATAGTAAATGCTCTCACTATGTCACTGGTAACAAATATGCAATGATAAATAATGACTGAAACAATGAAATAATGAAACATTGTTTCCCAGTGACACTTAACTAAAGAAGTAGCTCTCTGCTTTTATCGTCCCGGGAAAGTAGCTCTCTGGGTGTAAAAGGTTGGAGACACCTGCTATACACACTAATGTAAGAGCCTGTAAGACCCTGTAAGACCCTGTAAGACCCTGTAGGACCCTGTAAGACCCTGTGGGACCCTGTAAGACCCTGTAAGACCCTGCTAGACCCTGTAATACCTCGTAGGACCCTGTAAGAGCCTGTAAGACCCTGTAAGACCCTGTAAGACCCTGTAGGACCCTGCTAGACCCTGTAAGACCCTGTAGGACCCTGCTAGACCCTGTAAGACCTTGTAGGACCCTGTAGGACCCTGTAAGACCCTGTAAGACCCTGTAGGACCCTGTAGGACCCTGTAAGTCCCTGTAACACCCTGTAAGACTCTGTAAGACCCTGTAAGACCCTGTAAGACCCTGTAGGACCCTGTAGGACCCTGTAAGTCCCTGTAACACCCTGTAAGACTCTGTAAGACCCTGTAAGACCCTGTAAGACCCTGTAGGACCCTGTAGGACCCTGTAAGACCCTGTAAGACCTTGTAGGACCCTGTAAGACCCTGTAAGACCCTGTAGGACCCTGTAGGACCCTGTAAGACCCTGTAAGACCCTGTGGGACCCTGTAAGACCCTGTAAGACCCTGTAAGAACTTGTAGGACCCTGTAGGACCCTGGTCGGTCTAACTTCTTCATCGCGTTGTCAAACTTCATGTATTGATTAAACAAATGTTGTTTAAAGATTTAAAGTAAGTACGTTTGGAGGAGATCCTTCCCACATGTGGGGAAGTGCGCCCTCTAGTGCGGGGAAGTGAAACTGAACAGACTCAACAGTCAGAGCAGAGACTGTAAATACTGTAATTATAATAAATACTGTAGATACAGTAAATACTGTGTATACAGTAGATACAGTAGATACTGTGTATACTGTAGATACAGTAGATACTGTGTGTACAGTAGATACTGCAAATACTGTGTGTACAGTAGATACTGCAAATACTGTGTATACAGTAGATACTGCAAATACTGTGTATACAGTAGATACTGCAAATACTGTGTATACATTAGATACTGAGGTGACGTCTCTGATGCTGTTACAGGGTTTGGGGGGATTTAGTAGATTATCATAATATTCACTTATATTTTATATTTACAACGTCTCAGTGAATGTTTTAGTCACTTCTATGAGGAGTCACTTCTATGAGGAGTCACTTCTATGGGGAGTCACTTCTATGGGGAGTCACTTCTATGAGGAGTCACTTCTATGGGGAGTCACTTCTATGAGGAGTCACTTCTATGGGGAGTCACTTCTATGAGGAGTCACTTCTATGAGGAGTCACTTCTATGGGGAGTCACTTCTATGAGGAGTCACTTCTATGGGGAGTCACTTCTATGAGGAGTCACTTCTATGAGGAGTCACTTCTATGGGGAGTCACTTCTATGAGGAGTCACTTCTATGGGGAGTCACTTCTATGAGGAGTCACTTCTATGGGGAGTCACTTCTATGAGGAGTCACTTCTATGAGGAGTCACTTCTATGAGGAGTCACTTCTATGAGGAGTCACTTCTATGAGGAGTCACTTCTATGAGGAGTCACTTCTATGAGGAGTCACTTCTATGGGGAGTCACTTCTATGAGGAGTCACTTCTATGAGGAGCCACTTCTATGAGGAGCCACTTCTATGAGGAGTCACTTCTATGGGGAGTCACTTCTATGGGGAGTCACTTCTATGAGGAGTCACTTCTATGAGGAGTCACTCATAATGTGGTTTTGACAATCTATCTATCTATCTCTCACCTCGTACCTCGGGCGGCACGGTGGCTGAGTGGATAGCACTCTCGCCTCTCAGCAAGAAGGTCCTGGGTTCGAATCCCGGTTGGACCAGGGCCTTTCTGAGTGGAGTTTGCATGTTCTCTCCGTGTCTGCGTAGGTTTCCTCCGGGTGCTCCGGTTTCCCCTACCACTAAAAATATGTACAATAGGTCTGGCATGTGCCTCCTGTACTGGCGACCCCGCTCCCAAAAATAACAATTGTAAACCGCTTTGAGACTCCAATGTGCAGTGAAAAGGTGGTATATAAATAAAGATTACTTACTTACTTACTTACTACTTCCTCCTCCTCCTCCTTCAGGAGAAATACTACTTCCTCCTCCTCCTCCTTCAGGAGAAATACTACTGTATCCTCCTGTGGCTCAGAGGAAAGACTTTAAATCAGCCTTGTACCAAAGTCTGTGACATGTTAGTGACTTAGGAACAAACTCTGAGGAGCACAGGGACTGGCCTCCTGCTGGGACTCTGAGGCGCACAGGGACTGGCCTCCTGCTGGGACTCTGAGGAGCACAGGGACTGGCCTCCTGCTGGGACTCTGAGGAGCACAGGGACTGGCCTCCTGCTGGGACTCTGAGGAGCACAGGGACTGGCCTCCTGCTGGGACTCTGAGGAGCACAGGGACTGGCCTCCTGCTGGGACTCTGAAAACAGTTCTGTTTGTCTGTCCGAGATGTTGTTGTTTCGGCCTCAACTCTGGAACAATCTCAGCAGAAGGATAAAAACATACATTTTCTTTTTAGTATTTTAGGATACGATCTGAAGGATTGTGTTGAACTTTTGTGACACTTAAGTGTTTATTATTTGAAAAATGTTGCGGTAACTTGTATTGTAACATGAATATGTAATGGCCACAGGCTTTTGCTTCTGTCATAATAATAATAAATGAACTGAATGTTTGGTCTCTCCTCACATCACACAACCATCTACTCTCACATATCAGTGCATAAAAAGAGCATTTTCAACAGTAGTTCAATAATGCCTAATTATTCTGCATATTTGTCGATTCTAAATCCTCTGGGAGCTTCGTGGAGAGAGATGGATTCTGCTGCAGCTGAAACGTTGTTGTCTGTGGAGCTGTCGTTCCCGATGTGTCCTGCGGGGGGCGCTGCAGGACCACGCTGCGGGGGAAGCGTCTCCTGACCCGGCGGTGACACTCTCTCTGAGAACTCTTCTGTGCCAAACTCTTCTGTGCCAAACTCACTGATGTTGGAAGAGTGAGAAGCTCTGAGGAAAAACTGTTTAGAACCTCCAGAAAAGATTCTTCTGTTCCTCTGCACCACCTCTGTTCTCACTTATATATACACAATATAAAATATATATAAATATATATATATATATATATATATAAAATATATATATATATATAAAATATATATAAAATATATAAATATATATATAAATATATATATAAAATATATAAATATATATATAAAATATATATAAAATATATAACTTGCCTGCTTGCGTAGGTTTTCACACTAGGTTAAATCCTCCAGCTCTGGTCCTGACCAAGCCGAGCATCAACATCTGGAGATGGGTTCCAGGGCGCTGTTACTACGGCGACCACTGCTCCTGACGTAAGCCTTAGTGCATCAGGATGGGTCAAATGCAGAGGATGAATTGCCGTACAGGGACTAATAAAGTGCACCTTTACCTTTGTGTGATATATATATATATATATATATACACAGAGAGGTTTCTGTTACGTGAAGGAAAAGAGGAGGGACCCAAAATTCAATACTGCAAAAATATAATTTAATCCGAACAAGAATCCAAGAAATCAAAACTGAAAAAAACACAGGAACTGAAGACGAACCAAGAACAAACATTCAATGGACTGACAACAAGAGTGAAAGAGCACAGGGAATTTAACTGAGAGACACAGGTGAAACAAATCAGGGCAGGGCAGGTAATCAACAGAACCAGAAGTAAAACTAAAAGACACAGGGGAACAGAATTACAAAATAAAACAGGAACCAAAAGTGACAACCATGACAGTTTCACACACGTCAAATACAAAAACAAACTCCTTACGGTGTTAATATTGAAGGATAAAGTATTAGTAGTAGTTTCTATGAGATTGTTAACATTTGGTTCAGATGCGTTTTTTTCGTTCTCACTTCTGTGTTTTTCTGAGGCTCTGACGACTTCGAAATGACCAGAACATCCCAAAGACTGTGAGAAAGTCACCATCAGTCGACTCAACGTATGAAAAACTGCATAGTTTCTGCTGCTTTCCCCGAGTCCTGACGCTGTTTATGG